CGAGCAAAAGCATCACGTGACCTGTATAGACCGCATAATAGCCTAAAGGCATGGCCAATCTTCAGAGACCACGGGTGACCCCTATACCTTTGAAGGTGGCAGATGCAAAATTATAAATTTACTTAAAACATCATCAGATTCATTTTGGGGAGAAAATATTGTGGGAAAAAAATCTCATTGAGCAGTTCTAAAGTGTGAACTTTCTAGGTAACAATATGTCACAATGTCAAACTGCTGAACAAACCTACAAACTTAAATCATGTTTCTGTATAGATTTTGAGATAATGAGAGTCATAAAAGGAGAAACTACTAGTATTTTGTGAAAATAAGGATACCAGTTAGGAGTGAAGGAAGGACAGAATGCAAAAATAGAATAAAATATAATGATACTTACATGTGTAATGAAAATACCAGTGTGCTCCATGGTGCCCCCTAGTGGTGTAGTAAAAATCCAGCAGGATCCAGTACCACCTCGTGGAAGATGCAAGCATTTCAGAGAGCTGAACAGAGAAAAAAACTCATCACCTCCAGTTGACCATCTTGCATGGTAAACACTCCCATTTAGGAGAATGCCTAGAATGGTAGCAACTGGGGAGCTGTGGCCAGGAAGATCTCTTGAGTCCAGACAACATAGCAAGATCCCTCTTCTGTTAAAAACTGTTATTCTAGGCAGAGAGATGGCTCGGTGGGAAGAGGCATTTCCACCAAGCCTGACAACCTGAGTCAGATTCTCCAAGTCACAAATGATGGACAGAGAGAACCAGCTCCACAGTGTTGTTGTTGAATTGCCACATGTATGCTGACAGCCCATGTCAATAATAATAATAATAATAATAAATGTCTTAATCATAAACTTTTAAAATATAAGCAATTAGGATGGTAGCCTGAGATTTGCTTCAGTTCAGCCTGAGACACTCCTGTATCTTTATTAATTGCGCTATCCTTGTTTTATTAAAGCTAATCTCCAGCAAAGGTACTGCTCTTTATCCGTGGATGCTTTTTCAGGATGAGTTTGAATTTGTCAGCAGTGACATATGATGCTGAGAGATCGAGCTAAATGGAGAGTACTTACTTGCTGGGCATCCACAAGGTGCTGGGTCTGATCCTCGGTCCTAAAAATAAATACATAGACTTGATATCTCTTGTTAGTTCATTAACAGAAGCTCAGCCCCGTTAGTGTTCGGAGCTGAAGAGCCAGCCAGCCTCTATCAGATAAGTAGTATAAATAAATCCTTGTGCCTCTGAGAACCATTTCGGCCTTCATGGGAGCTTGCTGGTTTTGCATACTGCAGGCATGTGCTCAGACAGTTTTCTGTTTGCCTGTTGCGAAAGACTGTCCTGAATGTGTTTGACATTTTACTTGGCTTTGAAAGGACTTTCATGCCCCCTGCGTTTTCTTCCCTCGAGCTGCCATGAGCTAATTAACCTATTCCCTCGATGGCTGGGACTACTACTGTATGCAAATGCTCTCATTTCCTATTCTGACATATCACTCTTGCATAAACATCGCTAATGAAATCCTGCGGTGTTTTATACAGCAGTGCACCTGTGCCGCCAGCAGGGGGCGCATGGAACGGTTCTCTGCATAGACCTCAGCAATGATTAAATGATTATGTTTCCTTGCCAGCTGGTATGAGAAAGCTGGAGCTGGACCAGAAAGATAGCTCAGTGGTTAAGAGTACTAGTTGCTCTTTGCAGAGAACCCAGGTTCAAGTCCCAACAACTCCACTTCCTAGGGATCTGATTTCCTCTTATGACTTCTGTGGGCAACTGACACACATGTAATATACATACATGTGGGCAAAACACTTATACAGATAAAATAAAATAAATAAGTCTTTTTAAAGTTAGAGCTTAATGGTCCTCTTTCTTAAGAGTAATTCTCCAAGTCTAGAGAGAAAAGATTGGTATTGATATTTTTTTAAGACAGCAAAAAATAACAATGCTTTAGACACTTTGGGGATTTGATTTTAGTCTGTCCTTAATATGGATTTATAAACACTGGGTTTAAATGATTCTCTGTCCTCCTGATAGGAGAGGGTCCTCCAAAATAAAGTTATTTAAGACATAATTCCTTACCCACTTTCGGTTTTTCCACATCTTCAGGTACATGCTATTTTTAATTTCGTCAGCATGAGACTTCTTTGGGTCCCCATGTTTAGTGGCTGCCCAGTCAGTGTGAGGGGCCCTTTTCTTATTGCAATAACTCTGGTGTTCAGACACTGAATGTCTAAACCTCCACTTCCCTGTACACATTTGCATTCTCAGGTTCTATCTGCCTGGTCCAACTCATGAGGGAGGAGCAGCTTCTCGTGTCATTTGTCACTTTGCTCTGGTATTTCTTGGTGATGTTGAAACAAAACAAATGAGAGTTATTAAACCATCCTCACCCCAGGTGGAAGTCGGAAAGTGAGGTCTGGAGAGTAAAGCATTTACCACACAGTCACACAACTGTGAGGCTATGAGTTTGACCTCTAAAACCTATGCAAAAGCTGAACGGTAGACCATGTGTCTGTGACCCCAGCACTCTTCTGACAGTATGGATTCTGGACAAAAGAGAATCCTTGGAAGCTTGCAGGCCAGCTGGTCTGGCTTACGAAATAGTGATGAGACATCCCCCTCCCCCAATCTCAAGCAAGATGGAACCAATCTCTGAAGTTGTCTTTCAACTTCTGCATGCATATTGTGACATGCACACACACACACACACACACACACACACACACACTATAACCTGGATGAGAGCAGTTTGGAATTGTGTGATAGAAGAATGGGGAGCTGAGCAAAGGGTTATGCTTCGCTGTGGATCTTGCTGTTGACTCAACACGGACACAGCTTGAATTGTTAAAGACAGAGCTTACAGTATGAGTTTGGCTCTGTCTGGTAAAGGCTTAAGAGTTTTCGGTTTGATTTGGTTGTTTGTTTGACTGTTTCTTTGTCTGTTTGCCTGCTTCCTTACTTTTTCTTCCCCTTTAAACAGGGTTTTTCTTTGTAGCTCAAGTTGGTCTGGAACTTACCATAAAGCCCAGGCTGGTCTACAAAGTCCCAATCTTCCTGCCCTAGCCTCCCACAGGCTGAGAGTACAGACACTCATGACCATACCCAGTTTGGGGGGGGGGTCTGTTTTAAAGTCAGATCATAGGAAAAAGAATTTGAGGAGGAAATGTATTCAAGTTCCAACCCCAGAACTGCAGCTCCCCAAATCAGAGCCTCTGATGTTGCTTCCCTCCAAAGCTTCTCCCTGTCTCCTGCTGCTAGCGTGTTTCACATCGGTCACCCTGACAGTCTACCCCATGCCAGGTAGACATTGTTCACACAAGGGTGGTGACGCAGAATTCAGTGTCTCCATGAGACTGAGACAGGGATTGCTCTGTAAGAGTTCCTGGCATCACGACGTGGCTGGGTTTGGACACGTGGTTGTGATTTGTCCGGCAAAGGTTTCATCTCATACTCATAGTGAGCAGGGCCCTGCTGGTGGGGGTGGGAGGAGGAGGAGGAGAGGTGGGGGGAGAATCTTCAGAGACAAACTTGGAAGAGAAGAAGGCACATGGGTGAAGCAAGTCCTAACTTGTATTAAGGAAACTTTCAAGCCCTTGGTTCTATTTCACTTACATAGTCATGTGCTTACTTATGTATCATATTTATGAGACTGCATCTTATATTGTAGCACACGGAAGCCTAAGGTCTGTGGTCATTCTCCTGCCCCAGCCACCATGGCAGGGTTCATTTTACATATTGTGTTTGGTCTATTTTTTTAAAAAACTAGCATAGTAACTGTCTCAAAGATGTCTTAGTATTTCCTTATAAATGACTGTACATAGAATTCCCTTGAGACTTACAGTGAGAAGTATTATTTTGGGATACTGCTGCTGAGTTTGGGGTATAGGAGTATATTGTGGGAGGCACTGTTAAGATAGGGGGGCACTACCATAGATTAAGTGTAGCCCTGAAGCCAGGTGAAATCTTAACAGTATTGGTTCTGGCCTTGAAGCTGAAGAAATAGCCCAAAGACTCATTGGGCATCTCTATTCCAAACCTGCTCCTTCACAAAGCCCAGCTTCTGGGATCTCATTTGACTGAGATAAAATTGCTCAGGTAAAGAAATGACAGGGAATGGTACCAATCTTTCTGTGAAGACAATTTACAGAAATGCATCACAAAAGCAAAACAAAATCTGGGGGTCAGGGTGGATGGTTACTGTGAACCCAGCCTTTGGAAGGCTGAGGCAGGAGGATCATGAATTCAAGGCCAGCCTTCATTACACAGACAATGTAAGGCCAACCTGAGCAATAAGAGATGCTGGAATAAAAGAAAAAAGTGACCATCCCCCCTCTAAGAAAAGAAGAAAAGAGTGGAAGAAGAGAGATGGGGCAGAGAAATGTTTGAATTGCTGAGTTGCCTACTCTTATTTTATTAAGAAAGTAATAAAACCTGGGCTGGAGAGATGGCTGGTGGTCAAGACAGCCACTTACTGCTCTTGTAGGAGACCCAAGTTCAAGTCCCAGCACCCACAGTGTGATTCACGACTCCCTGTAACTCCAGTGTCATCCAATGCCCTCTTGTGGTCTCTGTAGGCACTGGCACATATGTGGTGTGCATAAACTCTCTCTCACACACACATACAAATAAATAAATTATAAGCAAATAAACAAATGTTTAAAAAAATGTACACCCTTAAACTTAGTCACTATCTTGAGTCTTACTAGCTCTTTAGACCAGGTAATATTTTATCTATTTTAACACTTGGGCCATAATCTGCTTTTGAAATTCCAACTGAGAGGGTCTCTTCTTAGTCTTGTTGGTAAGAGTGTTTTGGTTGGTGGGTTGACTGGTTGGTTTGGCTTGGTGGGGTTTCTCCCCTAGAGCTGATGTTTTGATTTTTTTCCCCTCTCTTCTCTCTTTCCTGTCCCCATCCCCCACTCCTGATCTCTCCTCCTCCTCCTCCTCCTCCTCCTCCTCCTCCTCCTCCTCCTCCTCCTCCTCCTCCTCCTCCTCTTCAGAATCCGGAGCTGCTACTGTCAGCCTAGAGAACCCACGGGGAGATGATTCCTCATGAAGGGCCTGGATCCCCTACAGAAATCCAATGTGACTCTCTGTTTATCAGACTAAAACCAGAGCCAGCCAGCCAGTGAGACAGCCACCGTGGAGGGGGGACGGCGAAAAATGAAATCCAATCAAGAGCGGAGCAATGAATGCCTGCCTCCCAAGAAACGTGAGATCCCCGCCACCAGCCGGCCCTCTGAGGAGAAGGCCACTGCTCTGCCCAGCGACAACCACTGCGTGGAGGGCGTGGCATGGCTCCCCAGCACCCCCAGCCGCGGCCATGGGGGTGGGCGGCATGGGCCAGCAGGGACTTCTGGGGAGTATGGTTTACAAGGAATGGGTTTACATAAAGCACTGTCCACAGGGCTGGATTACTCCCCACCCAGTGCCCCCAGGTCAGTCCCCACAGCCAACACGCTGCCCACCGTGTACCCTCCTCCTCAGTCAGGGACCCCGGTGTCTCCTGTGCAGTACGCCCACCTTTCTCATACTTTCCAGTTCATTGGGTCCTCCCAATACAGTGGGCCTTACACGGGCTTTATCCCTTCCCAGCTGATCTCCCCATCAGGCAACCCGGTCACCAGTGCAGTGGCCTCAGCTGCAGGGGCCACCACTCCATCACAGCGCTCCCAACTAGAGGCATATTCCACCCTGCTGGCCAACATGGGCAGTCTGAGCCAGGCACCAGGACACAAGGTTGAGCCCCCTCCGCAGCAGCACCTCAGCCGTGCTGCAGGATTAGTCAACCCGGGGTCCCCTCCACCCACCCAGCAGAACCAGTACATTCATATTTCCAGCTCGCCACAGAGCTCCGGGCGGGCAGCATCTCCTCCACCCATCCCGGTCCACCTCCATCCCCATCAGACGATGATCCCGCACACACTCACCCTGGGGCCTTCATCCCAGGTGGTTGTGCAATACAGTGACGCTGGAGGCCACTTTGTTCCTCGAGAGTCCACCAAAAAAGCAGAGGGCAGCAGGTTGCAGCAGGCTATGCAAGCCAAGGAGGTCCTAAATGGGGAGATGGAGAAGAGTCGGAGGTATGGGGCGTCATCTTCTGTGGAGCTGAGCCTGGGAAAGGCAAGCAGCAAGTCAGTGCCTCATCCCTATGAGTCCAGGCATGTGGTGGTCCACCCAAGCCCAGCAGATTACAGCAATCGCGATACCTCCGGGGTCCGTGGATCTGTGATGGTCCTGCCCAACAGCAGCGCATCCTCAGCCGACCTGGAGACACAGCAGGCCACACATCGAGAGGCCTCCCCATCCACCCTCAATGACAAGAGCGGACTGCACCTAGGGAAGCCCGGCCACAGGTCCTATGCGCTGTCCCCCCACACGGTCATTCAGACCACACACAGTGCATCGGAGCCTCTCCCGGTGGGCCTACCAGCCACGGCCTTCTATGCTGGCACTCAACCTCCTGTCATCGGCTACCTGAGCGGCCAGCAGCAAGCAATCACCTACGCTGGCGGTCTGCCGCAGCACCTGGTGATCCCAGGTACCCAGCCCCTGCTCATCCCAGTGGGCAGCCCTGACATGGACACACCTGGGGCAGCCTCGGCCATAGTGACGTCATCACCCCAGTTTGCTGCAGTACCTCACACGTTTGTCACCACCGCCCTACCCAAGAGCGAGAACTTCAACCCAGAAGCTCTGGTCACCCAGGCTGCCTACCCAGCCATGGTGCAGGCCCAGATCCACCTGCCGGTGGTACAGTCCGTGGCATCCCCTGCCACGACGTCACCCACGCTGCCGCCATATTTCATGAAAGGTTCCATTATCCAGCTGGCCAACGGGGAGCTGAAGAAGGTGGAGGACCTGAAGACAGAGGATTTCATCCAGAGTGCAGAGATTAGCAATGACCTCAAGATTGACTCCAGTACTGTGGAGAGGATCGAGGATAGCCACAGCCCCGGTGTGGCTGTGATACAGTTTGCTGTTGGTGAACACCGAGCCCAGGTAACCTTCACCAGGGTCATATAGGTAGGGGGCCCCTATCCTCATTCTGACAAGGTGATTGTTTTTAGCAGGTAGGGTTCCTATTGTCAACTGGGGATCAGGATATGTGTGTGTGTGTATATGTGGAGACAGAGAGAGACAGAGAGACAGAGAAACAGAGACAGAGACAGAGAGAGACAGAGAGACAGAGAGACAGAGACACAGAGATTGAGACCCTTCAGTGCTGAAGAAGAGCTCCCTTAAGAGAGAGCTACCTCAGATAGTATGGTAGGTCCTGAAGATGTGTCAAGGGGTGGGGCTCCTGTTCTTATAGGTTTGGGGTCATATGAGGAGGGGGTAGGGGTAGTTTAATACCACATGACCAAAGTCACAAAGTAGGAAAACACAGACACCCAGTACGTCCTGAAGTTTACAGTATCTAACAATGTCCATGAACCTCTGATTCTCCTGCCTCCGTCTCCAGAGGCATGGGATTAGAGGCCTGTAGCACCATGCCCAGTGTATTTGGTATTGGGAATCAGGCTCAAGACCTTATGCCTGCTAGGCAAAGACTCTACTAATTGAGCTAGATCTTAGCCTCCTTTCCAGAATCTTAAATCATCTTCCAACATTTACTTCAGTGCCTGTTTATATAGAACAGCAGAACAGCAGCTTTACTGACCACATTGCTGAGCGACAGCCAGGCTTGTTCCCCCCTCCCCCCCCCCGCCCTCCCTCCATGGGCACATCTCCCAAAAGACCAGATGTGGGATCTTAGTCAAGGTCACAGGCCCTGCTTCCCTGAAGCCTTTAACCTAGAATGTTCTTTATGGATAAATGCCACAGTCACCCAGTATTTGATAAGACCAAGAAAGTTTTCTGGGAAGTTCTGATTCCGAGGAGAAGATGATGGCATGTTTGTTTAGAGCATATAAGGCTATTGCTCACTTCTCACTCGAAATGACGTCAGCACAATGGCCTCTCACGCCCTAGGTGAATTGTGGAAACAGACCAAGATATATTCTTCCTCAGTTTTAGTCCTTAGAGTGAGATTCTGACCAGAGGCAATCAGGCAAAGCATTGATTTGTTTATTTGTTTCAATGCTGGGAATTGAACTCAGCAATCTCTGTGCATTTGCCCCTGCTCAGAACTCCTCAAAATGAATATACAAACCATGAAGAGACTGGCTTCCCTGTGATGTCAGACCCTGCTCTCTCCCTGACACACACACACACACACACACACACACACACACACACACCATTGCCTGACAGCAGGCTCCCAGCAGCATGACGGACAGACAGACCATCTATGTCTCTCCTGTGATGGAAAGTACCATTGCAAAGCTGGACCAGAGGCCTGTGGTCTGCTAATGAGACTTCTTGGGTTTGGGGCCACTGAAATAAAAGTACAAGGCTCAGACCCAACCAGTGATTTGTGGCTTTATTTTAGAAACCTATCAGAGATCGGCTGACATCATCGCAGCTGAAATGCTCCACAAGCAGTGCTTGCAGGAGTAGCAGGCTTGGAATCACAGAGCCAGCTGGAGAGAAAGGGAGGGGGTGGGGGGAGCCTGGTCAGGGAGAGACTGGCAGCAGACTTAATTGATCTTACGGTAGCTGACCTCCGTCTCTGGTATCTCTCAGAGGACCTTTCTCCCTAGCCTGAGCAGATGTCCAGGTCTCTGCAACTAGTTAGATATAGCTCACAGCAACACCCACAGGGAAATATAGAAATAGGCAAATTGTTGAACTTCTGAAGTAAAAAATCTCAAAATCAGTTAGGGAACTTGTGGAAGAAAGACAGTTTCTCTCAGACAGAAAAAGCTTTGTGATCCCGGACATAAATCCTGCAGGAGCAAAGATCTGCCAGGATGGTTGACTTCAGACAACCTCCAAGGTCCTTCCCAGAGAACACTGAGGGGTGGTGAGGAGAGCTAGCCAGACATGCCTTTGTGTGGGGCAGGTGACTTTTCCCAGTCCCCCCCCCCCCCAGCTGATGCTCTCTGTTCTCTAAAGCATCCTAACCTAAGGATGCTGTATAGAGACAATCTTCTCCGCTTGTTTTGTCTTTCATTGTTGGTTGGGGTTATTCAATTGTGTGTGTGTGTGTGTGTGTGTGTGTGTGTGTGTGTGTGTCTGTGTCTGTGTCTGTGTCTGTGTGTCTGTGTGTCTGTATGGTGTCTGTATGTGTATCTATGTGGTATGTATATATGTATGTGTCTATGGTATATGTATGCGTATGTGTGTATCTGTCTGTCTATGGTGTATGTGTGTATGTATGGTGTATGTATGTGTATCTGTCTGTCTATGGGGTATATGTGTGTATGTATGTCTATTGTATACATGTGTGTCTGTCTATGAGATATATGTGTGTGTATATGTGAGTCTATGGTGTGTATGTGTGTCTATCTATCTATAGAGTTTATGTATATGAATGTGTCTGTGGTATGTGCGTGTCTATGTCTGTCTGTAGTGTGTATGTGTGTGTAGTATACATATGTGTGTGTCTATGGTATGTGTGTGTATGTATGTGTGTGTGTTGGAATCTAGTTCTTTGTACATATTCCAGACAAGAGCTGTACTACTAAAGCTTTCTCACCATCACCTTCCTCAGCTGTTTGCTTGTTTTTGTTTTAAGCCTTCGATTTCCTGTCTTCCAGAACAAACAGAAAACTTGGTTGTTTTTATTTGCTTCAGTAATCAAAAGTTAAAAATATATTCAGGGGAGCTCCTAGTGACATCCAGCTAATCAGACATGGATGCTGTAGAAAAAGAAGTAGGGGTCTGTATTGGTGACTGTGAGTGTGTGGGGGGGGGGGAGAAGGAGGGAGGTGGGGAAGAGTTGTATATATGAGTGTAGGTACAAAAGCCCGTAGAGTCCATGAGGAAGCCAGAGAAGGATGTTGGCTGACTATATCTCTACCTTTCTACCTCCCTGCCTTACTCCCTTCAAATGGGGTCTCTTTCCTTTAGTCTAGGGTGGCTGGCCAGCAAGCCCTGGAAATGTCTGTTCTCCAGTGCCAGAGTTACAAGCATAAACAGCCACCATGGATTTTTATGTGGGTATTGGGGATTCAGACCCAGGTCCTCTTGTTTGAACAGCAAGTACCATTACCCATGGAGCCATGTTCCCACACCTTTGGCCACTATTTTTAAGGAGCTGAATCCTAACTTCTCTTGTGGAAAGATGACTCCAGTGTGGTCTCTGTTTGGCATTTATGATGAGGTAGTAATAGTATAGAAGGAAAATGCTTTTCTGTGTTTGTCACCCACTGTCTCTGGCTTTGCTGCACAGTGCACTGTTACACCCTCATAGAACAGCGCTAAGGGGGAGGCTATAAGCATTAGTCCCTATCCCTGTGTTTGCTGAGGAAAGCAAGCCTCTTTCCTCTCTAGGTGGACAAGTAACACATTCCACAAAGGCAGGGACAGTGTTCCTTCTGCTGTGCTTTGGTGCAGCCTGGGAGCCCCACAGGACATCAAATTTCTTTCTTTGGGTTTGTTCCCAAATATAACCCACTTCCTCTTCTCCAAGTATTGAGCCATAAGTCTCGGGCATGTCTCAGCTATGGGATCCAGAGTAGAGAAAAGAAAAAGGAATGCTAGCTTGCATGAATATGTGTATCCAACCATCAGTAGGAGCTAGACATGAGGGAGGACCAGAAGTCCACCCCTTCAGAGCAGCATGAGCACCAGTGTACAAAGAGAGGGCCTGTGAGAAATCGGCACTGGGAAAGCTCCTGTCCAAGAGCGCACCACTGGCTGCCTTTGGCTTCTGTCCTTCAGTGTCTCACTGTGGTAGCAACCTGCCCATCTCTGTCCTGGGCTCCTAGACTCAGCCTTTCTAAAGAGCTCCCAGGATGCACTCAGCAGCACCTTTGTAAAGTGCTCTGGCCCACTGCTTCCCTCTGGCTGCTGCTCTCCTCAATGCTGAGCTCTGTGTTATTAGGGCTGTCTGTCACTTCCCAGATCCTCCTGAGGTGACTGCCTCCCTTGCTTCCTTCATATTCACTGCTGTTTCCCTCTCCCACCATGGGCAGGTGCACACACTCCTTTGGCGGGCTATGATGCTGTGCTCACTGTGTGTGGATTGATGGCTTTTCTTTCATTCCACTGTTTCTCGGTTTGACTGCTGTGGACTGTGAGTCACTGGTGGCAATGTTTTAATGGATTAGCTGGATCCTAAAAATAGTCCAGGCACTCATGCAAGCAGTAAATAAGCCTGAATAGTCAGTCCCTTAGCTTCCAAGAGAAGCATGCTCAACGGTATCTACTGTTCAGGCTGGTAGAAACAAAACCAAATTCATCAAAATGCAAATGGTCAGTGGCCCAAGTAAGGGCCATGTGCTAGGTCTATGGACCAGTTGTAGAGGATATCTTACTTTCTCTCAGTTTTTATGTCAAAAGGCTCGCTCTAGGAATCTGAATCAAACCATTCTTATTAGTATGTGTCTTTTGACCCATGAGGTGGCATAGGGCTATAGTCCTAGCTACCTGGGCAGGAGGATTACTGGGCATCATAGCCATCAAAACAGAAGAAGTCTGTTGCTCTGCAGTGTTTTGGGGGGATGTAAGTTTACCCTACTTGATAGCCTTAGTCTTGATGTCAAGTTGCTTTAGACCATGGTCATTGTGGCTTGACTTTATTTCACTTTTCACTTTGCCTTATGAGTCATCCAATCTGACCTTAAACTCTTGGCAGTCCCCCTGTTTCAGACTTCTGAGTGCCAAGATCATAAACAGATTCCTGAGGCTCACTGGCTAGCCAGCCTAAGCTACTCTAGATCCAGATCAGTGAGAGACCCTGTCTCAAAAAGAGAGGGGGGGGGGCAGACAGACAGACAGACAGACAGACAAATGGTGACCAGAGCCATAGGAATTCCCAAGATTGTTCTCTGGATTCTGTGTGCACATATACTGGGGGCTGGTGAGATGGCTCAGTAGATAAAGACACTTGCCACCAAGCCTGACAAGGTGTGAGTTCAATCCCCAGAACCAATTCCCACAAGTTGTCCTCT